CCTTATCTGTGTATTGATCACTCTCGCGAAGTTCCGTAATCGTCAACACCTTGATCACTGCTCTATCAAATCATTGTAGATGGTTCAATCTATTCGGCAATTTTGTACTTTATTCACTTCACTGTAAAGTTTTAGTTCTACTTGTCTCTCACTTGATATTGTTTTCATTCCTGTCATCTGTCATCTGCCGTCTCGGTGATGGACAAGCCACTCGAACGGACACACATAAATTTACATCTTTTCCCTATTGCGTACAGGAGTAATCCAGTGATTTCTCCTTGCTGTAAGTTCCTCCATCTTTATTCTGTTCGCTGACCATCATATCTTTCTCGTAGGCTTTTCGTTAGAAAAAACAGATAATTGTAGAGGTAGAATTCCTGTAGTGTGCTTTATTCGATAAGATAAAGAAAAAATTGAGTGTCTCGCTTGATCAATCACTGTCGAAAATTAACCTGACTTCAAAAGCACGGTACTTTCATTGTTGTATACGAAGTCTCAATCCGAGAATAAAGGAGGAAAATCTGAAGTGATCGGAATTTCTTAGGCAAATCTTAGTGAATATCATGTTAATCTTGAAGTGACTTAGCAACATTCCTTTAATATTCCTCTTAGAATCTATAGCTTTCTCTCACTACCTTCAATCCAATTCTATCTTCCCTTATTTCTTGGCAATTACTCCTCATTACTTACTTTCGTTCATTTTGTCCCAACTCTTCTTCACGATGTTCCATATTGTTTACTGATAGCGGTGTGTTCCGAATTTCTTCTGCGTTTTTCGCAGTTGAAATAACGAAAGGACATAATGATGAGAATTTTCATATATTCTTTGGAATATTGATTTCTTCTGGATACGTACAATTATCTCTTTACAGTCCACACAGGCAGAAAAGCTTAGACAAATGCCAGCAACTAGTTTTGCAATCAATCACGGAAGCAAAAGATTACGAAGTTTCTAGAAGTAGAATTTGAATGAGGAGAGTTCTTTTACTACCTCAGACACTTCATTTGTTCATTCTAATTCTCATTCGTATACTATTGATCGAATCGTTTTTCTCAAGCATTTGTTCATTTTTCGTTATTAATTTGATCAAGAACATGTGATATAGTTTAGTCTATGAATGCCTAACTTTAGTTTTTATTCACACGCTTATTGCTCTTAGTTTCTGCATATATAAAAGCAAGTAAGATTGTAGAGAGGAAGATTTTTACTAGGTTTTTCTCATAAGTTTTTTTAGCACTAGAGCAGGTAATACTAAATTATTGACCAAAAGTATTTAAAATTGCTTAACTATACTACTCAAAGCATGCGCCATTGGCCTGAACACATTTCCGCCATATCTCAGACAACAAGTCTGTGAGAACCTAGAAAGCTGCAATCGACCCCTGTCACGTTGACGTCGCCGCAGTCTCATGCTGCTTCAAGGCAGCGAAAAGCTGCCTGTGGTCAAATTGACAAAGAGGAAGTCGACCGAACTGGGCTGGGGAGTTGGATCATCCGCCGTACAGTCCTGACTTGTCGCCGCATGACTATCACCTCTTTCGATCGCTGGAGCACTTCTTGGGCAAGAAGGAGTTCCGATACATCATTCATTAGTGCCGAGGATTGGATTTTTTTTTGAATTCAAGGATGACGCGTTTCTATGAGCGTGGTTTGATTTATTGCCGGAGAGATGGCAGAAATGTGTCAAGGGCTGATAGTGCATACTTCAAATAGTGTTGTTGAACTAATTTGATTACTTCTAATTTATGATTTAGTGCTTATTGCCGTAGTGCCAAAGCTTATGAGAAGACTTAATAGTGCAATAATGTGCAGAAGGTGATTTCTTTGTAAGAATGCTCAATCTCATATGGTCGAAATAGCGTACTGAAGAAAATATACACGAAAATCGTCGTTTTATTGTGATTATGCAGTATGTTTGCACTCAATTCTTCAATGTTTGGGTGTTACTTTTTCACTTAGACAGCGATAACAATCGAATGGAAATCCTATAACGAGATTGTCTTCACTATCAAGTAGTGAACTGGATAAGAAGTAGTAAACCTGTGCCCTATGCGTGCCATGCTTTGTTCAATTTCGAATTCCCAAACACGTTCGTACCCCTCTTTTACAAGATATCAACTACACCGTACCTGAACTCATACAAGGATTCTCTCTAAATCAGAGCGTATTATGGAAAATTAGGCTCTGCGCGGTCGTTCCGGGCGTTACAAACTAGCTGGTCTTTTTGGATTTTCGACGAAATTTCAATCACTGCTACTATTTTCCCTAGACTAGACTCTTATAAGGGGCATTTAATGAATTTGCTTATTTCGTGTAAGATGGGTGAGACAACATAATAGAAAAAATCAACGGAGATTTTAAAGAGCAATCATTGTCCTCACACAGGAATCTAAAATGTTCAGTGTACAAAACTCTTGAGAACTTCTTGAATGAATTCACAAGACTGCTGTTTTTCCTGTCCGAAAGGAATAAAACGCAGAGGAGTGTGTCTTATTGTCACGTGCGACCTCTTATCGCCGCATGTACGGTCTTTTAGCCTAAGACAAGGACCCTATCCACTCATGTCAACATTGTGCGGATGTTTTCCAACAACAGAACAGAGACACATATAAGCGATGAGGGTTACGACCAATTTTTTTTCCTTTGCGATTGAGAAAACAGATTTTTGTGTATCATTTATGGCCGACATATGTGATCTGGTGAACTGATAGTGAACAGCACGAAGAGGGACAGAGACGGATAAGTGATCATCAGATGAGAAATACTTATTCTATGCCTCAAGAAGGAATTAGTAGACTAGGGATAAGATTAAGGTGGGAATAATTAGATTGAAAATTACTAAATAGTGTGGAATTACGGCAGTTCTAACACGCTCCTTGCGTGTTACATTCTATCGCATCCGATATTTGCAGTAGAGATAGAAATGAAAGCCTGTTGACTATATCCATTTTGCCGACAATGCATTCAGTACGATCACCGAAACAGGTGATGCAACATTGGAGCGATAATCGAACTCATCAACGGAGAATTGTAGCAATTATACAGAGCTGGAGAATACTTCTGTGCGCATGATTCCTTCATTACGACCAGAGTTGAATCGCTTTCCGTCAGTATGGACATCAGAAAGACGCAAAGATGATTTGACGTAATTCAAATAGTGTTCAAGAGATATCTATACTTACAGAAATTTACTATCCATAAATGACCGGAGGTATGGCTCAGCCTTAGTGATGAGGTCTATATACTAACCGTTGGAAAGAAAGTTTTGGGGCACCTCAAATGCATGAGATAACTCCCATGCATATCAGGAGAATATTACAGTTGTTTTATGTGGGATTTTCACATTGAATCCCCAGATATTATTTGTACTTTATTTACAGTTTGTTCACGAATCTACGCCATGTCCAACTATACAATCAAAAGCTCGTGTTTTACTGCGTGATTTCTATGGAGCAGGGGTCTTTTACAACGAGCTGGAGTCGATGAAATCAACGAAGTTGAAGAGGAAGGCAGAACAAGCAATGCTGTTGGGGGGCGCTGATTTCGACGCTTTAAATCCGGAGATCTTGACGAGTCTTTTCCGAACAATGCAACACTCTTTTTGAGGAATTACGGATTCGAATCATTTGATGAAGTTGAAAAAGCATGTCAAGATTTCTTTTATTTGAGTCGAAGGAATGATACTTTGACCACATTTGAAACTTAGCGGACCGATAACAGAAAGTCGTAGAATACAATGGCCTTTATTCTGAAGAATACTCATTTTTGTTTTTGTTCAGATTCTTGCTTGAATTTCCAAATTGGATAGTGCCCAGAACTTTTTTTCCAACCTAATATACATTTGAGGTATGAATAGAAAACATCTCTATACCATAGATTAATGTACATATTGAAAACCAATTTTTGAGCGAGTGATCCATTTGAGGCTAAAGAAAGGAGGGTAAGTACGATAATATCGTCAGAGCCATGTAATCGTGTTGAAGTGGAAGGGACGATTTTCATTATGTGCACAGTTCACGACAATAACTTTTTGAATTTTGAACTCATTGCTACCGAAAGTGATTGAAAGCTGCAAGCAATGGTTCCCATTAGATGCGAGTGATGAGCAAAAACTGGGAAGAAAGAGCGTTATAAAAGCGTAAACAAGCAATGTGGCACCGTAATGATTTTCAGATTTCTAGCATCTTTACGTCACTGCTTATTTCGCAGTTTTTTGATGTTACTTATATAACTTAGAGAATTGAGTGGTGAGCAAAAACGCGGCCTCAGGCGGGAATCGAACCCGCGTTTTCATCCTATTCGGGGACGCGTGCTCTAACCACTACACCACCGAAGGCACATTGGCGCCATCACTCATTCTTCATCTCTATGTTAGCTGTCAGCCATCAATCCTTAACAGATTTAGGCGGGCATGTATATCTACAATGGCTATTAGCTCAACTGGTTTTATGAAACGAAATCGCATACACGACCAAACCTGTAAAGGGTTGGTGGCAAACAGCTAATATAGAGATGTTGACAAATGAGTGGTGGCGCAAATTGCTTCGGCGGTGTAGTGGTAGCACGCGTTCCAGGTATCAATGAAACGTGGGTTCGACTCCCGTCTGAGGTCGTATTTTTGCTCACCACTCAGTTCGCTTAGGTATATGTGGAACATCATGACTGCGAACAAGCAGTAAAAATATGGAATTCTCAAAATCATTACGATGTCACATTGCTTGTTCATATTTTGATAACGCTTCTTCTTCCGAACTGGATTGCTGCGCTTGCATCATTTGTGAATGTTCGTTAATTTCGCCATTGATTATGCTCATGTGCACTTCTAAACTTTTTTAAGGAATATTTTTTCTGAGCGATTTAAGTAGAAGATCTATGTCCAACAGCATCTTAGTACACTCTTCAACAAATTACTGTGTAATCATCTCATTATAGATATGAGTGTTCTTTCTAAATTCAACTCGGTGTATTCATTCGGTTCAGCGCTTTCCTTTAAACAGTACGGACCAGGACTATGTGGGCTTGTCGCTTTTTTGACGATTATCAAATGGTACGGCAAAATAGCCAAGTATGTGATTTTATCCCTGATTAACATTTTGATTCCATAAATAAGAAGCTGTATTTCGTATTAAGCTTTTCAAAAGAGAACAAAAATATTAGTTTTGTGGAAAAGGAAAACATTAGAGGGGATAAATTTTCTATCTATTACATCGGTGACTGAGAGACATTCTGCATGGATGATACACTTTTCGAGTGAACGTTCGATGAGAAATGTTCCATTTAGAGCATCAAAATCAAGAATTTTCGTCACAAAGAGCGGTCAACCAACGAACGACAAAGTACACGTGGACGTTCAGTTTCTAAAGAAATTGTGGCGAATTATAAAAATCCTTATACCTTCTCCGTTCTGTGCTGAGGTAAGAGAAAGGAAAAACGAAAGTGACATAGTTGAGCACGAGTTTAAATGCAAAATTTAAATTGTTAAAAAAAAAGGTAGAAGTTGCTTAAAAATTGTTATTGTACCAGGAAACATTTGTAATTTAGTAACACATTTAGTACTCAATTATTTAAGAGAACTGGAAATGTTGTGAGAGTAATTGATTTTCGTAATACAGAGTACGAGTGGTGTTATACCTACTCGGGGTTAAAGACTCTTCTTTTCAGGTCTTCTATTTGTTGCTGATAGCGATCTCGCTTCTGTGCAGGACTTACGCAGATGTGTACATGATCGTAATGGCGACGAAAATTGAAGCGTGAATACCAGCTATTGTGTTTTCAAACAAATATGTTCTTTTAAAGTCAGATTAGATTAGAAGTTGTGAGGGAATGTTCTGGAAAGTAATGATCATAGAAAGTGTGGAGTGTATTCGAACTAGCTAAACCAATACCATGGCCATATGTTCATACATAACTATCATTATCAATCGAAAGAGAACATTACTTGGTTGCTTCTCGTATTAGTTTCGTAGGTTCAGTAATGCACTTTTGCAGGACGGTTTGGCTTCCACAAAAGTCATACTTTTGGCATTTCGTAATCCGCCTTCACATTTTTTTTCTCCACTGATCACTTCCTTGTACTTCTGGCATTAATCGTTTTCCGTAGAATCGTCGTATAATAGTGGTTGAGCGCTTCCTTGCAATCTCGAGGATAGCCTGATTGTGGAGTCCTCGAGGGTGTTCGTTCCTGACTGCCGGAGGCTGTTGGAGGTGAGGTTCGGCCTCACGGGCGTTGTGGAGCATCACAACCACTCGGCCGCGACGCCCCAGAAGTCATATTACACGAGATAATTGCCGCTTTCAGCTTTATATCACATATCTAGCTCATAGTAAATTGAATAATTGTAATACTCACTAGAATACTTTCGATAGCTCGTCTTCAGTAGTAGAGCGGACCCATGCACGATTTCCATTCATTAATTTCTAGCACAGTCATTTTTCATGGTGGAGCATGCTGTTCGAACATGCTGACGTACAGGGCGACCATTTTTCGCGATCCAAAACTTTATGCTATTAGTGGGTGCAAATGGTTGACATTGGCCACGAACACTTCCGCCCATTGTTAGAGCGGTCATCCAAGAGCAAGTTGAATTCTCGTCCACTTCACTGTTTACTTCATCTACCTGCCATCTACTCTTCTTATTAGTTAGTCTCAACTACTGAATCCAAGAATCTTCCATCTGGAAATCTTTGCTTACCAAATAATCGCTTGGTTGACCGCAATCATAGTCTGGTTTTTTGGAACCAATGGTATGTATCTTCATTCTCGACTTTCTGAAACTAAGGCAAAAGCCAAGCGGGATTTTATCCACTATAACGCGATAGTGTTGCCCTGAATATATCATCTTTGCCTGCTCCTGCTGTTCATCTGCTGTGATTTTTGAAAAGTCAAGATTAGTATTAATTCTTGAAAAATTTGTACTCCGAGACATATCTGAATTTGGAAGGATGCAGTTAAAGTCACATTTTGTGCGTATACATACGTATATATTAATCTGCATAGTGTTACGATTCTATGCTGAGTTTTGCTATGATGCCATGAGGCTATGATGCATAGTATGGACAGAGTTGGTACTAAAAGAGAGCTCAGGAAATTCTGTACAAAGCGGTATTGATTTCATGCCTAAGAGATGGCAGAAATGTGTTTCAGGCTGATGACGCATACTTTCGAATAGTGTTGCTAAGCAGGTTTGATTGCTTCTGGTTAAGAAATCGGGCGTTTACTGCCTTGTGCCAAACCTTATGAGAAGACCTAATAAGATTATTTTCGATTCGACATCCAAGTCAACTTCTTCTATTGGTTTTTGAATAACCTATGTTGCCTTACCTTTATGGATGAACACAGCTAAAGTTTCCTCTATATATACATAGCTGGGCGGCGGTATGGCGCTGTGAATAGTGATGCACTACCAGAAAGCACGATGATAAGGGATGCTCTAGTTCTATTCCCTCCTTCAGCACTCTCTTGCATTCAGTCAGGTGGAATGTCCACCCTAGCTGCGTCGATGATTGCAAGGAGAATCATCTCGACCAAAATTTTACGATATTTACGAAGAAGATAAAATACTTGCGCACCGGAGATATGTCAGAGTGTCTTTGTGGAGGTTGAATGCGCAGAAAGGAATGCAAAAAATTCGATCCGCACAGTAAAATGATAGCGAGTTGTGCAAATAATATAATAAAATATATTCATAGCCAACTGATCCTTTTTACAGTTCGATTATCGCACGTAATAAACTGTTGTTTCTCATGAATGTGATGCAGTACGCTTTAGCAATGCCAGCGATTTCGGTGACAAATGCTATTCTCAAGGTAGTCTGTCTTCTATATTGTTGAAAAAACTACAAAGAAACCATGTTATATGATCATGCGTTCAAGTTAGTTGAAAACTAATTTTTTGTATAAATGCAGGTATTTGGTTGGAATCTTCCAATTTATCTTCGAAATTAATGACGCTCAACAATTATAAAAAATTTTTTTGACCTGGAAGTGACACTGCTATGTTGAGTAGACAATATATTTCGAAGCGTTTGTGGTTTGTACGTATGTTTTTGCGATTTTCACTATTACAGTTTGGTTTGAGCGAACTGAAGCTAAGGTTTCGCGAACGCCTCACCAAATTCATGTACCAACGATACTTGGCGTAAGACTGTTCTCCTCCTTTTATGAACCTATTTTCGAAAATCAACGAAGAAATTCCAAAGGGGTTTCACTTTCTACAAGATGTCAAATCTCGACAATCGAATCCAGAACGCCGATCAGCTTCTTACACAAGACGTCATTAAGTTTTGCGAAGGTTTCGTCGATCTTTACTCGAATGTTACAAAGGTGAGCTTTACATCCGGCTGAATTTCCGGCTAATTGTTGCAATAGTTAAGAATTCCGTTTTTCTGACTGACTATGTTTTTCAAATACTGCCAATATTGACATTGGATACCTAATTTATGGTGATTTATTTGACCGTAGATTAACTAACAAGTCTGAATATTTTAACTTTGATGAATCGTTTACAAATCTATTGATCTATGTGTAGACAATTCTAAGCAAGTGAAAAAGATCACGTATCATTTAACGCCATAATTCATTTACTAATCACCAGAATTCGTTATAATATCGCAGATTTTAACAGTCTATCCATTTTTATAGCCTATTGTTGACGTGCTACTTTATGTCTCTCGTCTAAGTGGTGCTCTCGGATGGGGCGCTCCAGCAACCCTATTCAGCTATCTGCTCGGATCCGGAATATTCTTGACTTCCATTAGAAGACCAGTAAGAGCTCCTTTCAATGTTATTGCATTCGCAAATTCTTAACTCCGTTCCACTCTTAATAAGCATGAATTTCATTAATGCACTGAAATATCGTTCTAATGGAGGTTAGTTCACAAAATATTAAGTCTTTTCGTTGATTTCTAAATAACTGCTGAAATCAGGCGATGGACAAATGTGTGTAGTGTTCCTAGATTACTCACTAGTATATTACTGTTCGTAGCCTGGTAGTGGAAAAGTCATGTTTAGTGTATGAAAATTTGCTAATGTGTCAAAACAAAAGATGGTGTTTATCAGAAATAACCCATGTGTACAGATTGGACGTCTGACCGTTCAAGAGCAAGCAATGGAAGGCGAGTTTCGATTCGTCAACTCTCGTTTGATTATGAACAGTGAGGAGATTGCTTTCTATCAGGTTAATTGACAGTGAAATGAAATATTTTTTGATCTCAGGTTCATTTATATATTTGTGCACTGTTCCCTTATGATGTATTTCCTGCCTTGCCCATATTATAGCCTGTTGCCAACCAGCACAATTATCATTCATTTCTTTCCCCCACGATATTTTGGAGGTGTTCCATTTCATTAATGTTGAATTCAAGGATTGTCCTTCATCTGGAAAGCACATTCAAATGAATGCGAGTAGAGATGCTTCATGAAAGATGCGATTTCCATCTATTATATCACATCTTCTCCTAAGTTTTGGGGCAAGGGCAATAAACACCAAAACTATTAATCAGAAATGATTAAAATTGCTCAACAGCACTACCAAAAGTATGCGCCATCGGCCTGAACACGTTACTGTCATCTCTCAGGCAACCAATCAGTGTCGCGCTCATCTAACCCGTCATC